TTGCCATTGATGGTCATGCCATGGTAGTTGTTCGTAACATGTACAACTGGCTGTGTGTATAGCCTTGTTGAAATTATTTGATGCGCGATGTAACACTGGTATGCCGCGCTCCTCCCCATCCCGCCCTCCAGCCTAGTCGCGATGTCGGTCGCTTCTTCTTTTGCATTTGTTCGAGGAATTAGAGGCCATAATTTGCACTAGCCTATGCTTGTGTTGCGATGAATGTGCTGTAGGAAAGAAATTCGATGGCATCGAGTACTTCTCCGAAGACTAATTCCCGAATTCATGGAGTGATGTGTGGCTCTCTGTCGTTGGTCGATCGCGTGGTATGCGTATGATGTATTATTTGCTTCTGGAGCACATCAAATCGGACGCCATTCGTATGCAGCCAGGCTCCATTAGCGCGGCTTGCGCTGCGATGTGTAATTGCGGTACTTGACCGATTGCGTCTTGAGCATCAACTGATGAAATTGTAGACTCTCAACTTGCTTAATAACCTATGTTCTCGCCCATACTGAAGCCTCCGCGTAATCCGAACCTTCCATGCCAAGACGAATTGCTGCATCATTAATCATTGGGCGGGCGTGATTGACGACCTAGTTGTCCTAGAACATCCCATGTGCTCAAAGCCATGCTCAATTTGGGGATACATCTGATCGAAGAAAAAAATTGGCCAAAGGGAAGCAAAAGTTCATCAAGTTGATCAGAGGAAGGATTGGCACTCAGTGGAGACAGTGATCGTTGAATTGAAGTTTGAATTAGCTGCTCGTTTCATGAGACGTACCTCTACTGTAGCAGGCATCTTTCACTGAGAGGTCCTTCAACTTCAAGGCCAATCAGTCTTCTCAGTTTGGCAGAGGATCCTCATGTTTGCTCCAATCGGGATACTCCTGTCTACCAGGCATCTCGCTATGCAGCGCAACGTATCCATGCCCAACGGGGCCTTAGAAGTGCAGTCCGTCTTGCAATCAACCTCATCACTGTCACAATAGACTTCAGATAGCAGCACAGAACCAGTTCCTTTTTTTCACTGAAGGGAACAACATCTTAGAGAAGTGTTAGTAGAGAAACAACAAACTTCGCTAGCAACCATGGAAGGCTACCCTAAAATAGCCCAGCTAATGGCTAACGAGCAGACTGAGGGTCACCTTCTCATGTTTCAGAAGTTCAAAGAACTCGGCGCCCTAGATCTGTTTTAATATCAAGCCGAAATCGTCAACCTCCGAGAGGATCTAGTCAAGTATAGTGAGCAAGACGACGAGTCCGGCAACATAGACAGGCAACTTTGCCGCAGGGAATGGCTCGAACTAAGCTCTTCCAAAGATAGCGAACAATGGGAGGTATGGCTAGAGATTCGAGCGAAGCTGAAGCAGTATTGTACGCTGTTTCTCTATATAAGCTGTCTTCTTAAGGCTGATATCGCCTCTCAGACAAGGCCGTTGATCGTTACCGCCAGATTAAACGTGTCCCTTGTTCCCAGAAGGAAGACCTACAATTCGTTCAGAAGTGGCTCGACAGTCCCGATATGGGTGGCTGTAGACTTATAGATGCGGACAGGAGTGTGTATGACTCTCAAAACGCTTCAGGGCTTGGAGCCCTGAAGTCGAAGAAAGAGTGCTTTCTTACGCGGAGGATTTTATACGTTCTTCCGAAAATCTATCACTATGGCATTGTGATGCCTTGGCATCATCTATATGGCCGATGGATCAAGGTATGGGACTTCTAGCAGGTGTAGTTATGTTCACTGATGGCGATAGAAACCGACAAGTTCATTCACAGCAGCAGAACAGCACGCAGGCAGAAAATCCTCGTAAATTACTGATTATCAAGGCACTTCAGTTGATTCCGATATAACGGAATCTATCCATGTTACTAGCACGATTCCCGCTATCTTGGATGTGGAAGACAACATGATCCTGTATCGAGATATTCATTTTCGTTATGTAGGGAATATTCCGGGCACACTTATCTCTACGCTGATTCCTGGTGCGTTTAAATAGCCATACCAGAAGGTCTTTTTCTAAGAGCCACAAATTTGTCTCAGGAACACGTAGACATGGAAATAGTTGCGATCTTTTCGCTTCTTTAGACATGTTCCCTGTTACCAAGCTATCACCCAGGCTTTCAAATGTTCCAGGCTAATTCGTTATAGTCGCAGCGAGCGTAGTACTATATTTCGTGCCTGCTATGGGTACTCGTTTCGCCATAACATCCGTGTTAACGGTTCTCTTCTCTGTTGCGCTATAAGTCATGACCGGACTAGAAAAGTTGAAGTGTTTGCTGCTACTGCTGCGTGAAGTATCCTTCCGCGAGGCCGCGAGACGTGCTGACTGTTCATGTGTTAGCTTCGCGAGTGTACAGGTGGGAATTGTTGGAAGTATCAATTCACCACCATGAATCTCAAGCCACGCTCTGATGGCAAGCTTCATTGACTGCTTGCATCATCATGTGCTGGTGTTGAGCAATCTTGTTCCCGCTTATCCGTTCATCCGCCATTCAGAAGCAATTAGACAAACTTTGAGTTTGAGACAGTCAGTCACCGATGTTTGTGCCAACGTCACTAGACGCTTGCACAATTGCTAGATTCCGTTAAGCAAGATACACAAAACGCACTGTCATTCGCTTCCTAGCGCCTCGCAACCTTCCTTGATGTTTATCTAGGCTTATAAATGCAATATCTGGCGGCTGCATACTCCCCCGTGCGATCAGCATACCTATCGAACATTAGCATCAGTTTTGCATAGCTCTAGCATCACTTACTTTATTACTTGGCAAACATGTGTTTCAGCAAACCAGAGCCCAAACAGGAGGATACACCCAACGCGAGGAGCGTCAAATCTTGTAGCAGTGTACAGCCTGTCCAGCTAAAGGCAGGTGTTCAGGCTCAGAGAGGAAATTAGCAAAAAGGAGTTCAACCACAGAAAGGAGTTCAGCCATAGGGCAATTGGTGCACAGATCGGGATGCTGGGAATTAGGAAGAGCTTGCGTTGTGTTGGGTTAAGCCTGAGACCGCCTAGGCTCCAATAACAATGGACGTTCACCACCTCACTACCCCACTCAAATGTGCAGGTTGATGAGGACCTTAGCAACTGATTTGTAAGATTTGACTTGGATTTCTATGCCTTTGTCTGAAGTTGAGCTTGCTCGTTTCGAACCCTGTTCCCCTGTTTTCTTTGTACTATGTTTCAATCTTGTAACTGAGACGTATGCTATGCATTTTGGCCATACTCATTTCTAACCCGTTCTGCCATGATACGAAGTCGGTGTACTGCTGTTCTGGCAACATATCGACTACAGCAACCGCATAATCAACACTGCAGGTCAGTCCAGACTCACTCAAACCACTCACTCCTTCACACATTCAACCGCTGACTTGGAGCCACTCGTTCCTTGCCACTGCCGCGGCATATCTTCGTCTTTGAGCATATCTTTCTCCACCCATATACCACACAGCACTCCTAACATACGTACCTCGCAAATATCCTCAAGATGCCATCCTCCGGCAATCCCTTATATAAAAGCCACCAGGGCCTCCAAAGAACAGAGGACACAAATTCCGACTGGACCTGCTGCTACACTTACCATATCCTTGCCAGCGACCGCAAAACATTGAAGCTCGTCGCTTGTCGACGTCTGAATGCTGCCCGGGACAATAAGTGTGCGAATTTCTCGTGTGGTCATACTCAATGCGGAAAAGGCACGAGGTCTAGCTGATCTGAGCACGTATGCTTGAACGAGTTTTTGGGAGGATTTCCGTGTGCGCTAGTTCAGGTAAACATAATGGGGAAGACGATCCCTTGTCCCAATCGACTGTGTACGTCTGAAGTACCGAGAGAAGTCTCCCGTTCTTTTCTTACTATGCCCTGATCAAACACTTCACTGACTGACCCGTAATCTAGGCTAACCGACTTCACGACGTCGTGAAGCTAGGAGTTACACGATTTTGCTAAGCGATTTCTATAGTCTCTATTCAAGTCAAGATTTGGACAACTCCTAAATTCCACCATCTTTTCGGAATTTTGAACGCTGTGATCAATATTATTTGTGTTATGCGAACAAAATTGTAGAGTCTTTAATGAGCACTCATAAGTAGAACTTGACATTGATATACTTCTTGTACCCCAGACAGCATTAAAAACTCAAATCCAGAAAGTTCTTAAAACAGAAGCCTTCCATGTGACTTTGCGGCTGTCATCGAGAGTTTGATGTCGTCTGTTACTAGTGCCTCAACATAGCTTTATTAAACTTTCCTAAATGCAGGTAATAGATTCTCCAGCGGAATGGATGCAAAGAGCTTTTGAGTTTGGAAACCAGTGTATGGGTACGCTTCTGTCTCTTCAAGTTTCTTTGGACATGAACAAACCGTATGAGACTTCACTACAAACTTCTTCTAAGTGGTAATTAAGTAATATATGTCCTACTCTTCCAGCAGCTACAGTTAATTTCCATTCGTGTTGGTCAAAGGTCACCAGATAATGTTTATCGTCTGCTGGAATTGAAGCTCAAGGAACCCAGATGATGACCGTAGTAGCGGTCGAACCTCAGCTTTCTTACTGGATACAAGAAACAAGTAGTCGCAACACTATGTCCGTGTACCGAGTGCTCTTCGATGCTCCCACGCCAGTTCCATACACGACCCAGCCCTTAGCAACTGTAATGCGCTATGCCATCGGATTTCCGCTGTCATCTATAGAAATATCAGCCTATCCTTGGTTTCCTTGAGATGCGACACTGCTATCGGAACGTAAAGACTGGATTAAAGAAGCCGCTAATCCCTTTCTTTCTCCCAAACAACAGCTACCTATTACAACTCGAAATTGTGCATTGGTGTTACTTTATATCAGATTCCAGGCGTACAATTTAGAGAGATATCGCAATTTCTTATGTGGTAAAACAATTTCCGCTCAGTTAGGGTTGTATTCGTCTCTGAGCATCAACTTCTAAATTTATATATAATAAAATTGATCGGAACTTCAAAATAGCCCGCAACTGGCTAATTCGGGGTCATGGTTTAGTGGTATAATGTTCCCTTAGCATGGGAGAGGTCGCGAGTTCGATTCTTGCTGACTCCAAAAACACATATTTTTTACCGTTTCTCAGGTCCATTACTTACCTGATGGCATTGATGGAGTGCCGCTGATGGCCGGAAGATGATTTTTTGAGCAATTTCAGGTTTGTGTGTTTGCCGAAGTGTGGATCCGAGCGGAATGAGATCTGTGCGAGACTTTCCACTCTCCCACTAATACTTGCTTCTTCCTCCCTGGCAGCCTATAAGTAAACGCGACGCGAAATATTGCGCTTCTCTGCACAAGCTTGCGCTACGAGTTCCTCAGCCGTAATCACAGCTAATTGATCGTGAAGAAATGGACACAACCGTACATTACTAATTCAAGCGATCAAGGCCTGTTTTGCTCCTTGTCAAAATGTCAGGGATGACGTGGAGAAGGATTGAATTGAATAAGTGGTGTCAATAGTTTATGCTTTTGCGTGAGCTCGGTTCCAAGGCCAGGATTAAACTATGTTTTAACGACCTCATTGTGAGTGAGAAAGATGTAGTGATCGTGGTATACTCGATACCAGATGTGCAAGGAGAGGCCTGGCTGTAACTGGGAGTACGGTAAGCAAGATGATCACAAGTCGAATGGGAGGAATATATCAAGTCATTTCACGTATTTTCAAGGAATCACATACTGGTATAGCTGGGATTATATCAGCTGGGGCTCATACACCCAAAAGTCAACACTGACACCAGCTTCCGCTAACGCATAACTGTCAGGGCTTGTAGTCAATGCTCTTGATTGATGCTACAGAGGCTGCTAAACTGTATGAAAGCGGTCGACGTGTAACATCATTTTATATACTAGTAGACTAGATCGCACCCCAGGGGCCTACCTCCTCTGGCGTCCTATAATCCGTAGGGCTCCCAGGGCTCCCAGGGCACGTGCCCGCCGGACGTTAAATAATAACACACACACACAATCCTATTATTAACTGCCACCAGTGGATCACCAGTATGCAACAGAATCGACGGGCGCCAAGAAATACGCGAATACCACCAATTTTTCGAGTTTTTTTTATTACTATCCTACTCTAATCTATCATACAGTACTTCGTACAAGCTTTCCACCAAACTGATTTAGCTTCTTAAATCGCTCTGACATCTCTCTAACACGTTGTTGAATCTCTTCTTTGCAATTGCCTTCCATTCTTGCTGTAGGATAGCCTTAAGCTCCTCAATATCATGCCACGCATGCTTGCCAACATGCTGCTTTAGAATGTTCCAACACGCCTCAATTGGATTGAGATCCGGGCTTTAAGAGGTTGTGTAAAATTGCTAATTTTATGTGTATCTGAGCTCTTGCGCAATCCCGGATCGCTTTAACCGGTGAGAAGCGTCGCCATCCTCTTGAAGCTCTTACTCTTCAGCATGTGTTAGATCCCTCTCGCACAAGCTCTTCATAGCATCAATATCAATTGGCCAAGGACGTTCGACATAGTACTTCTGCGTCATTGAATCGCCTCTAACCTTAGCCTCCTTCTCATGAGGTGCTGTTGCTTCCCACTCCTTCAGTTTATGCTCCCAAGACCCTGCGGACTCGTGATTGCGATGGCGTGGCTTACGCGGACGCTTTGGCTTGATAACTTCATCCCCGTCGTGATAGAACTCGAGCTTCTCTGCCTTTGAATTCCAGGATACCCAAGCCGCGACACGGAGGCGTACGCCTTTCTGCTGGGGTTTCTCTTGCATTTTCCGGGGGCCGTATCGATCCCAAAAGCCTTCAATCGGTCGGTCCTGGTTCTTCTCCCCATAGGCAACGAGCTTAGTCTTATTTAACTTAGGGATCTACTTCTTGACGTACGCACACTTGTACCGTTGACCTCTCTTTCTGTTTTGCTCTAGGAGTCGCTAGAGGGTTCGCGGATGAACGCGGAGAGAATGGAATCCGATCTGAGCTTCGTACAACAGAAAGAGGACAAGTCTCTTATTCGGACCGCATAAATCGCGTAGCTTTTGCTTGTCCAGGGCAGGCTTCCTTCCAAGCTTCTTTGGAATATTCCGTGTTGATCAAGCTCCTTCCCTCCCTATCTCCTTCCTGTCCTGTAGCCAGCGCGTGCATGTTTGTCGAGGTATATTCGTATCAAGAGCAATTCGCGTGATAGACTTGGCTTTATGGTCTCGATCATAAGCATCAAAGAATATTGGCTTCTTAATAACACATACGACTAGGTCAAGAAAGCAGAGTGGCTTCTTCCCAGTACCTTCTATTCTACACTATTCTACAATTTTCCTTTGTATTTGTCAGAAGATTGTTTCTCTAGAATATTCGGTGCATCTCAGACATGTAGTTAAATAGGGAGGGAGCCTGTAGTAGGCTGATTCCCTATGCATTTCTTAATTGAATTTCAGAACCCGTAACCTTTTGAGCTATCGACGCTTGGCCTCTCACGCTGGGTGCGAAAACGGTGTTTGTTTTGGTATAAATTTTATGGATTTCTCGATCCTCGGCTAGCCTGGCGCCCTTCAATTCCTTCACACACTTGTGGTAGAAGTTCAATAGGTTTTGCCCCTAGCTTGGCATAGGGTACGTAGGCAGTTTTCGAAGTAGCAGCAACTCCCGGCCAGCATATCCGCCTGGCATCGCTTTGCAGCTATTCATAGCGGGGGGGGAGAAGCCAATACGGATTTTGGCCCGGTAGCCTTTGCTACATTCAAAATTGGAAAGTGATGTAAGGGTTGATTGATTGATTGATTTTATCATACACGGAGCCAGCCGTCTTTAGGACAGCTATGCCGGAATGGCTCAGCTTTGGCACCAGTTGCCGAAGTGCATCTGCCTCGGGAAATGCACCACACTTCAGCACACTCATGTGACCAGCAACCTCCTCCACTGAGCCGTCTGGCTTCTATCTACGTATGCATACATACACGCTGACAGAAGTGCTTTGTTTGTGGCATTAGCACCAGGCTCTGTGGAG